AGAAAGCATCCGGAACAAGATAAAAACCTTTAGGGTGCAGAAGCCGAAAATCCTTCCTGAGAGAGCCAAAAAAAATCCCCGCCATAAATTTCCACATATTAACAGACATAAATATCCAGAAGAGCTCCGGAATACGCCCGACCGTCTGGCTGCTGCTGCTGCTCCTGCTTCGCCGGCAGAAGAGAAAAGCTCTAATACAATTCCGCCGTGACTTTGATCGAATTGGATCCATTCGACCTCGGGGCCCTTACGCCGCCTCCACATAAGCATTTCCAGTAATTTCTGCGCGAATCGCGACATCATTTTCGGAAAACGGCCGCAGTAAATGTGTAACTACCTTATCCAGGCGCATTATATTCCCCGAATTGATGTCTTTTACTGTCGGGAAGTCGGCTGAATGGATTTTTTTCACGACGCCGTAAATGGGAGATAGAAAGGAGAAATAATACTCCGCGCCGAAAAAATTCCACTGCAATGGAACAAACCTTAATAGATAAAATCTAACAATTTTGTACTAACTGTATAAGGCAATTCTGTATCGTTGTGCGAATAACAGATATCCATTTAACGTTGAATAGCCCGAATAGAAAGCGAAGTATCTATTAAAAAGGCGATTGTGGAATTGAATGTGTCGTGTAAATATTCAATGTCTGCATGAAAGTCGTTCAGTTTGGTCGTAACGCGAATATTACATTGATCATTTCCGCGCGCATCCACCGAGGGACTAGTTAAAAGGGAGATAATACAGGTGTAATGTCGTTTGATAGAGTAAACATTTCAATCATAAGGGATATGCATAGTCTTCGTTTCGAATATTAAGGTAATAATATTAGGTTTTATGGTAGAATGCAGAGGTGGTTTGGTAAATTAAATGTTCCTTGAAATTCTGAAGTCTAGCCGGTTTGGAAATTCGACACAAAGAAAAAGTTCCGACCCCTCGTCTATTCCCTATTTTCTTTTACCGGTTTTCTTTGATATTCTCCTCTATCGAACTTTTCAATTAACAGATGTGCGGAACGAAATTCCGCCTAGTTCGCGGGGCTCTTCTTATTTTCCTAACATCTGTTTTAGAGCCGAAACTCCTCGACTATCGAACTCCCCGTTCCGCGGCTTTTTCACTACTCGTTAGAGGCGGTTTAATCGATCTTCCACAACTTTTTAATCCCATTAGTTCGCCTCCCTTTCGGCGGATCTGATTTTTCGAGCGTTTCCGCGGAAACGCGGCGACCCGATCTTCGTCAAACAATCTCGGGGAAAATGTATCCCTGTCGTCCCGACGCTCTCCAGAAACTTAACTATCGATGATGTATCGCTCGCAAGGCAAACACCGCGTTTATTGTCCCGGCACCCTCCCTGCGGATGTGTCTGTATTATGGACGGCAGAGGCGCTGCACTTGACTTATTTCTTCATCAATCTCCGGTCATTTTTGGCCGACAAAAAACGAGATGCCGCATCGAAAAAGATTTGCCAAATTTTACCAACGATCGTTCGAAGTAAATAACAACACTAGAAACTTCCAGAACGTCGAAAAATTCGCCTAACAAATGCTAACTTTCTTTCGTTAAGTGTACTTGCTGCTGAAAGCCGAAGAACATTCCGAACGGGATCCTTTGATCGCCGCAGTAATGCATCCGACGAAGCTGCTTAGTCGTGATCTAATAATAAACTCGAGTATAAGTTCGGATGCTAAGGGTGCTCGCTTTTCCAGGAATATTTCAGGAGATGAAAGGGCTCGCTTATCGTGAAATCCGGGAGTTTTCGAACTGGAGACGGACACGCTCTGATTAATACGGTCAATAATAACAAGTAGAATGAGAGCCCTAATGGAATATCGAGGAATACAGATGTTAGTGCATCCATTTTCGCCGAAGCGCTTCCCTGTAAACGCCTAAATAAATAAACTGCTCGATTTTATAAAACTCTAGTGACCCGGAAAAACGGATCCCCTCGGTGTGAAATCCACTCGCTCGAAATATTTTTTAATGAAGTGTCTTCCTAAAACAGTCCGTTTATTAGATTGCCAATTTGGCCGAGATACAAAGAGGAATTCCTGAGGATTTTTCCATTTTTCCGACCCCAATCGGATTAGTTATGAAATCAGGCACATGCCCGCTTCCTTCGCCGGCTTCGACTCGAGAATATTAAACTGTCATATCGAAAGAAATCCGAAGGCGGTGCGGCGGAAGTTCGGCGGGCACTAAATTAAAATCGCTTCTCTTAAAAAGGGATCGTTCGAGCGAAATATCCTGCAGGGTTAACTGCAAATTGAACTCCCAAAAAAAGTACCTGCATCAAATAATTTTTTAAAAACTCCAAGATATTAACACCGACGCTGGAGCGGAAAGAAACTGTTGATAATGTGTTCGGAAGAATTATTATACCATATTTTAAGGTTCTTAAGGATATTAGAGACTTTCGGCGCGATCTATATTTTCTCTCTGCGAAAGAATCCATTTATTATCTCATAAGAATTGTCTATTAGTGCCGGCATATTAAACCAACACAAAACATCCCCTTATATATACGCACATTTAGAAAGCAACCCCATCAAAAAATCTAATTTAACGACCCATTTAACACCTATGTCATTTCTAGCCTTCGTTACAGCGGCGCAACTACAGCTCAATCTCATCCAGATTTTATCTTTTTGATATATCCAATCGACTCCTCTTATGTACAATTTTTAATAAATTCGATGTGATAATATATCGAAGAAAAATTAGTAAAATTAGTATGTTATCCAAAGAGTATGCTTATAGGAGTTTCTGGGAAAGGGTTGTAACGCCACTGGGGCGGGTTGGCAACCCTCTCGGTATTCTTCACCTCTTTCTGCATCGTTTATCCACAATATCCTCGAGGCAACCAAGGCGATAATGCTCCGATAAACTATCATATTTCGCAGTATCACGGTTTCTGGCTTTTCTCCGATTTTCATTATGGAGTCGTATAACCGGATGAACGATGGCGAACTTCTGGCGGATCATCTTGCTGTTATCTAGCCGGCGGGTTGCGCAAATGTGCTCCGTGCTACCCGAAGTTCGTATTAATTTCGAAGCTCTGGGTTATCCAGCGAACTTTCCGGGGTTTTTTTTAAACGCGCCCAATTATTTACCGATCCGAATCTCGTTATGAAGGAAGAGCTCCTTCTACCTGGCAAAAACGCACCCGAAAAATGTGCTTCTCATTCACCGATGACGAATTAGTCGACATTAGAATATCCAGTTTTTTTCCTCGTGGAATTATCCAACCGAAGACGACGAGCGACCTGGTATTGATGTCGGCGATAGTGAAAGCTGGTAGGGAGAAACAAATAAAAAAAGCCCAGCTGATTGATGGGAGGGGTTCGTGAGGTCAACAGTTGATGGATGGAGCCGTGGTCAAACTAGGAAGCTGACGGATAGCGGAGGTCGGAGTTTTCCGCCGGGAAAACAACATTTCCACCGATTCCAGCACATCCAAAACATGAACTTACTAAGCAAAGTTTCGCGTTAGACGTTTCCATAAAGCACACCAATCCTACAAACTACGCATAAAACCAAAAAAACACAAAATTAAACACTCGATTCCAATCAACAAAGAAGTTAATTTGAACTAACTTTTAACCGCTGGTGGAAAATCGCACCGCCCCGCATCTTTTTCATCCCCATTTCTTTTTCATCCCCGTGCCCGGAGTTCGGGCGACTCCGTTATACGGACGCGTGATCCTGATGTGTGTTCTGCCGAAAACTTTTCCAACGGTTAACTGGTTAACGGGAAAAACAAAATGCCCGCTCGTTTTTTATTCCCCCCGAAGTTTGTTAACTAATAACGACGAAAATAAATTGCTTCGTTTAAGTAAAAAACTCAATAACGCGCCGCCCGGCGACCGACAAGTGAGAGTCGATTAGGCTTTAAACGAATGGAATTAACGAACACGACGCGCGGGCGGGAAAAAAGGCGCCGGGACGCCAGCAGGAAGGGCCCGGGTTAGTGCGGACTTAATGGGTTAAATCGGAACGATTTGCGAGCAGTAAATAGACAAGATTATTGAGTTGTTTCGTTTAAATTGCATCCATCTTCCGCGATCCTGCGACTAAATTGGAAGAGCTCGTTGCAGGACTATTCATCAACCACCTGTTTTCTATTTGATAGCGAATACTTTGTGTTTACATTGATGCGAGTACCCGTTTATATCGATTATTCCTAGCAGGATAACCAATAAACGCAACATCCTGCGGACCGGCCGACAAAGCGGAAAAAGCAGTTAACCGGTTTATATAGGCGCATAAAAAAGTTTTTATTGCGCTATAGCCAATTAAATTCGTGCCGTTACAGAAGGCAGGGCGCGTATAAATATAAGATGAACGGTTGATTTATTTACAGGTGCAGGAAACGAACGTTACAGCAGCAACCGGGGTGCAAAAACGACTCGACTTAATCGCAGGAATCGGTTAAATACCATCAATTTAAACAGAAAAAAACGTAGGTACAGATGACGTGACAGGCGACGTGACGACTGTATTAAATCCTGCTGATCCTCGAAGGCTCGACGTTTCGGAAAGTCGAAAGTCAAACAAACGGGGCGACGCCCAGGAAAAAACTCCCCGAATACCTGCCGCTTAATAAATCAAGGGAAAGCTCATTTCGCAGCGCGTTTTTCATTCGAAACGTACACGTTCGATGGACGTTTAAAAACAGGAAATACGTTTCCATGCGATGCGCGGCACATTTAACTTCTCGCATATCCTGCGAACCGGACGGGACGTGGAGCATTAGTGAAACTTTCGGGAAAAATAATGGTGTTGTCTATCGAAACAATTTAAATGTTTTTTTGCCTGAAAAATTCGCATAAAAATGCTTTGGAAGTCGCTACTCAATTTTAAATTTTGGTCGTAGTTCCTGCTCATTCGCCATAATTTTAACATTAAAATGGTTTGCAGTCAAATAAAAATAGCTAATTTTCATTGGCCTGTACATGCCTACATCTTTATCTAACACAATTTACGAATCTAATAGGTGACAATTTTGTAAATTGACAAGTGCAAACGACAATAATGGTTTCGATTTTCGGTTTCGACAAATTGGTTTTGATCCTGATCTTGTACCTGGCCGGGCTCGTTTACACCGGAATATGGCTGATATCGTTGTTCGTATTGTTAGGTAGGCGATATTTTTTATTATCCTCGCCACACGAGTTCCTCACCGACGTTTTGGACGTGTACAGTGAATCAGAGAGGGAACGAAGCGTTTACGACGATGTCTATCTCCCCGATAAATTAATTGTGAAATGGTAATTGTGGAAATTAAAGAAAGGAATCGCCCCGAATCGTTGTTTCATGTGAGCGATACAGCCGGATGTGAATGGCGCAGTCGGCGGGATCGTAAGTAAATTCCAACGCTCCAGCAAATATTTCCTTCTCGTTTTGAATGTCTACATGAAATGTGGAAACGCCTTTGTTTCTCCGGAAAATCCTCGGAAAACTTTAGGAGAAAACGTCGAGTGAAAAATTCACTTAGCGAGGCTCATTGTCTTTCCATTTCACGTCCCAGAAAAATTGAAACATCCCGCATGTCTGATGGTCCCTAATGATGATAAATCGAGCAAATCTCCGGCCCACCTTCCTTTTTGTCGACAAATTTGAATTTTTCTAGCGCATAAAAAATGTAACGCCCATACACAACTTACACTAGTAGATTTCTGGAGGAGCGGACGTGCCAATTACCCTCTTGGAAATTGAATTCCCAACTTTCGCGTGTTGTGCGGGAAATCTCGAAAAACAACTTCCAACGAGATTAGGGGATAATAAATAAACCGGAAAAGGATGTCCTGAGAGGATTACATATGCGAAATGTTGCTATGTCGCAGCGAAAGATAAACCTTAAAAGCATTGAAATTATATTATGTTTTTACGAAAACCACTCTTTTAAACTTGCACATATTATATTCATGAACGAATAGTAAGAAACAACCTATTATAATCCTACCCTTAAACATACGTACTGGAGAGTAATACCGCAAACTTTACGATAAATTAACAATCCCCCTATTACAATGAACTTAAAATTTCAATAAATAACGGCCTGGAAATCCCCAGATTCGAAACTCCTTGCGCTGAAGTTCAACAGCCCGTGGGGTTGTGTGCGGGGGCTCAAACTTTCCACTATCAAATAGTGCGTAGACGCAGAAACACCGCAGTCACATTATCAACCAGCGACTGTAATAGTCGTGCGTGCGTCAAACTTTCGGGAAATTAAACTCGTCTCACATGACCCATTTAACATAATTAAGAGTTTATATAGGAGGGATCTACCATCAGGATAATCTCGACTTATCCATCAATTTACTTGGTTCAAACGATGGGTAATTCGAGTCTAATAACGGCAAACAAACCTGTTTAAGTCGGGTTGGAAATCTGAGCGGAAGAGGGTGGAAAAAAGGAGCCCTCGAAGTTTTTTTTATACGTATGAATGACTGTAACGTTGCTCTAAGAAGTTCCTAACAACTTTTCGCCCTAATTGAATTTTCCTCAAGGACATAAAACGAAGTTATCATAATAAGATAAGGCGTTTAACGTAGTCGCTATTTCCGGGAAACTTATTACGAACTTCTTCCGCGGAAATTTCGCGAATTATACTCGCAGCGTGAAATAATACAAGGCGTTTTAAATTTCCCATTAAACTTGTTTTATTCCGGAAACTAGCGACTCAATGGTCAGCATTATGATTAAAATCGCCAGTTAAATTACTAATTCAAAGTTCGGTGTAAAATTAAAAGGGTTTTTTTTAGCGAAATCCGAACTTATATAAACGACGGAATAATTAAAAGCGTGTATATGCGCTCATATTTTCCATTAGGTTGAAATTGTCCGATATGCTAGCCGTATTTCTTGTTAACTAACCGAATTAATGGCCGTATATTTTTCAAAATTACATTTCACATACATCAAACATATCAAAAATAAGTGGCTCTTCGATATTTCCGCAAACAATTCGTCAAAATATCCCACAAACATTATTAATAGAGCTACTTTTTTATTTAATTGTATATTAAAAGCAATTTTAAGGGTGTACTGTAGAAACATTTCTGAGTAAGAGTAATAAAGTGATGAAATGTTTCGAGGTATCGCGAAAAATCATATTCTTTGTGCGTTGTCTACCCGGAGTTTATATTGTTTCGAAAGTTCCGAAGTTATTTACTCTTATACGCGAAAGTCGGGGTAGGAACTTCCATAATTCCGAAGATTGTGCAATATTGTTTTGACTGCATCGATGATTTCGAATCGGATAAATACGGAGCGATATTAAGACCGTCTCCGCGTTTTTCCGGGGCGCACGAGGAGGAAATGAATTCTCCTTCTTCTCCCGCAACCCGCGCCCTTCGGTTAGTTTCGCAATAACGCATAGAGGGAGCGGACGTCGAAGAATGGAAAATTACTCGGAATCGTTCGTGCACTGTCTAATTCCTCCTGCGACGCGGGATTAAAGTTGCGCTATCAATCCGCGCGTTTTCCGCGCGATTAAACTTTCGACTTTTAACTGCTGGAAAATTTTATTTCGCCCGATAACGCACCGGCTCGTCGTGAGTTATCCGACGAAAGAATGCCCGTTCCCGGTGCACTTGCATTCCTGCTAACTTAATAAATGCGCTGAACAACGAAAATATATTTGAATTATTTTAAATACCAAAAAAATCATTTATTTTATAAGCACACTTTATTTAATCTATTATTATTATTTCTGTAGCTTATAGTGAAGAATTTTAGTGGAAAATGCAACTAATTTAAATTATTTTGGTGTCACCAGCATTAAATATAGGGAAAATAATGTAGAGTTTTCCGTGTATAGCTGAGGATGTTTCCATTATAGGTGAACTGGGTAAATTATCAAGAAAACTCCGCCGACTTTCCCGGAACACGTACCGACCGAATCGGTAAAACAATAATCTCCGAGGGCCGTAATTAATTCTTGTTAGGTTAATTAAAATATGGAATTGCCCACGTGGGAATCGAAACGCCGCAGTTTCAGTTTTCTCTAGATTATGCTCCGCTACCGTCGGTATTCCTCCTTAATGAGCTAAAATCAGATTATTGTTATTAATTCTCTTTCGTTTCGGTCGGCGAGCTAATTGTTATTTCACGTTTTCGCCGGGCGAGTGAGACGCGAAATGTATCGTTTTTACGAGATTTTTATGCTGATTTTTTTAATTAAAAACTGTTCTAATTGCCCCATCAATTATATCGAGGCGAATCGTGTGTTTATTTAGTTACTTTAAAAATTAAAAATTTGTACCGCACGCTCCTTATAATCCCCGTAATTCGAATTTATAGCTTTAATTCTCCACTGTTTAAACTCCTCGCAAATTGCCCAACATTACCCAATTAACATACACTTTTCACGCCTTTATCCGTTTCATACTTTTTTTCTATTCATACAATAACCAATTTTAAACGAACTCGAGTACCGATCGAAACGCGTTGCTGGTGATATGCCCTATTGATATGAGCGTCGCACGTGCAGCAGGAGCACATGCAGGAACGGAATATAAGATTGCAGCATTTCTGGCAAACACAATAACACGAGTAATTTGTTCGGTAAGCGGAACGGCAATAATATATTTACACGGCCGGATGCACTCTAATTCTTGCCGCGACGCCATAAATTAATCCTCCCGTGACGTTCGGTCGTCGTCTGGGATAGTTCGCAGGCCGAAACAACGCGAATTCCGGTTATCCTGTCTCGTACGATTAATAATCGATTACCGAACTTTAGTTCGATGCCGTTGAACAGTTGATTATTTTATAAGATGTAACTGAATTAGGTGAATGTAATTAATGCATTTCCTCGGAGGGATGAAGTTCGGCCCGCCAACTAAATATTTCGTTTGGTAAAAACGTCTTCATTCATGCGGCTGTTTACGCTTTCCATCCCGCTCCTTATATACCATTCGCCGTCGTAAATTCTAATAAAACGTCGCGGCGCATACTCATCTCATATGCCTTTTTCCCTGTCGATGGTACAAAAGAAACAATAAAAAAGCGTAAAAGCGCCGGCTGCGAAAGCGCGCCTAGCAAACGATGACATATTTGCGGATCAATCGGATATCGAAACGAAGGAACGAGCGTGAAAAAGGGGAATGAATTATTCGCTTTACCTACGCGAAACCACCTCTGGCGCATCACCGCGCACTCCCTAATTCCTCCAAGTCGGCGCTTCCCTTTCGAAAATAATTGCAGAAAAACACAATTTCACACCCCCGACGGAAGCCGAAGAAAGGATTCCGCCGTCATAATTCACCCTCATAGTAACCAAACCAAAGATACAATTTTACTCACAGAGGTATATCCCAAACCCCAAACAATTTTCCAAGTAGATACCTAATCAATAACTCCTTTGATAACTTAGAATACTTAAGTAACTTAAATATATCTACTTAATGCTTCTTAATAAGAACATATTAAGTTAATGAACTGTCATTAAATGGCCTAAAGTATTGTAGTTATATTTGAGGACATCTCTGCGACTAAAAACCTTCCCCTAGTGGGAGTAAAATAAAGAAACAGTGTCGGAAACCGAACAGAATGCAATCCGGGCATTGTGTACGAAATCAAAATCCATTACTGGGCGAAAGGGGCCGGTTGAAAAGGATCCGCGTCGCTGCTGAGGAGCCCCGAAGAAAGAAGTTCGTGTTAAGCCGGCGCTCAAACAGGAGGGGGTTGCATTGTGGGTATAGCTGTAGCAGAAGGAAAAGGGCATGTTAGTGAATACCGATAGTGGATAATCCGCGGCGTTAACACGACCGGCAGGAAATAAACGCAGGAGCGGGAATAAAAGCGAGCGACCTTCCGATTCCTATATAACTATCGCTTGAATTAGCGGAATTTGTGCAGAGCAGGAGGATAAAGTGAATAGGCTGCCCCGGGGGAGTTCCTCCAGACGCTCATCCATATTTCAGGACGGAAAGAAACTTAAAAATAAATGATTCACTACACTGTGGGAGCATACGAAGTTTTTTGTTCGGAAGTATTTACGAGCGGTGGAGGCCCCCGGGGGGGACTGAGCGTTGCGTAAACGCACCGAGCGGTTTCGTACACCGTCGAGAACATCATTCCTGCGAGAGGGTAGCGAAAGAATGGGCTGTTGTTGTCAGGTACACGGCCGGAATTGCATCTACTTTTCTACAAAACGACGTTTTTACGTGCTCTCAGAAGCTCCACATTTTTTTATAATATAAACTCTATTTACCTACTGCTACTAAATTCCTGCATATGATCGGTTAATTAAGAAATACGGCAACGTGGCACGTTGCAAGTACGTGATTCTATGTATCGTTCTCGTCAAAGTTTGGGAATTCCTGTAAAATTTTATTTGTATCGAAAATTGCGAGCCCTATCCGGGTTTTTTTCAGTTATTGCGCGCGTGATGGAATCTTCGAATGGTCTCAAATTGGGCTCGGAAAAGTGATAACGATTTTTCGGTTCGGTCGGGAAAATCCTACGTTCGATATTTTTAAGTTCGCACAAAGGACGATTTTACTATAAAATAATCCTGATAGTGTAATTCATAAAGTTCGAAAATTTAATAAGAGTCTTTGTCGAGTTAAAAATAGGAATTTCGCAATTGCATATTTCAATGAAATCTAGATGAAATAGACAGGAAAATGGACTTTGTTGGAGTGCCCTCTATTATTACCTAGGTTTAATTAAAAATAACTAACATTTTCCAGCTTTCTACCGTAGGATTCCGAAGGATATAAGTACCCTTTCCACGTACATCCACCGCCGGAAAAAAAAACCCGCAACTCGAAAAAAACAAATTAATTTCTGTACGTAGAAGTATTCTTGTGGCGTATCCGGCCCCGAAAAACCGACCGACAATCTCCGGAGAAATGAACTCTCTATATGAATATTTGAGATACAAAGAGACATAAAAAAGCCATATTAACATTTCCAGCAATCCCCGAACGAGCGGATTTTTCGCCGCGCCGACACGTTTTTATTTTTCTTTGCTTTAATAAAATCCACTTGACGATACAACACACAAAACTCCACCTACGAATATTCGCCGAACCGAACAGCCGCAAATAAATCCGGGAAAACTACGTTTATTAGGTATAAACTCCTCTATAAAACCGAATTTTATTTTATATACGAATTCCTTGTTTCTACGGGCCTTTTCGATCAATATTAGTTCATAATAATATTCTTTATTTCACCATAAACTCGTGGAAGTTATATAGAAATTGGTCACGTTAAAATTTTAACATGCATTAGATCTTTTCGAGAATGACTGCGGGTTCAGGGAGGAAGCGAAATTTCCACGAAACTATCTAAATATTCATAAGTTTAGACGGGTTATTTGGCTCGGAAATACCGCAAAATGTATGCGAGTACGCACGTTAGGGGTGCTTTTTGCTTTCTGTCAATGCTTTATGTGCGGAATTACGAACTGGAAACGATACAAACAACAAGATGAATTTTTTGTTATTTATTGGAGTCGAGCCAAAAACGGACATGTTTGATTTATGTAACTTTTTAAACGCATTAAGGGAAAAACATTTTTACCACGAGTGTGTATGTTAGCAGTTTCACGAGTAACTCAATTTTTATTTTAGAGTTAAATTAAACTGAACGCAAATAATCAAATAAGTAATTACGCATGAAACTAGAGGTCCTATAACAGGTCTGTTTATATTGAAAAACCCGGCAGCCGAACAAGTTGGTCTCATATGTTCAGCGTACGCAGCCAAATGTTGCAATTCCTCCATTTCTCTACCGTTCGACAAGACTTCTTGCAGGTAATAACAACTAACTACGAATGCGCCATTGGTTTTTTCTATTCTATCGCAGCTCTCGATGAGAATTAGCACAGTGCTCTAAAACAAACCGCCGTCAAAATCAAAAATCGATCATCACCACAACCCTTACCGCATATATGATTATCCTCACCGCGTCACCCACGGTGAGTATCCACATTTTGTTGTGCAAATTGAAATAAATAGTAGCGATGAAGTTCGCAATCATCAAGACGAATTGGACGAAGAGGAATAGGATTCTCCAGCCGAACAATCGGTTCAAATTGGCGACGATTTTGCTGATGAACGACAAAAGCGTTTTTAATTCGACGAATTCTTCGATGGACAAGACGTAACTGCGACGCTTCGAACGGGCCAAATACGCCAGGATTTCCCGTTGTTTCGCGTTGATTAGACTCGCTAATTGCGAGTAGATTATCGATGTGAATATCACGTAGAAATTCGTTATGTACATCGATATGTACGCGGCCGTTTTGTTGTAGATGATGAACATGTAGAGAAACTGTAAAACGTCGTTGAAAGGGAAAATGCATAATATGAAAATTAATATTCTCTTATCGATATACGAGTAGTTCATTTTATGCTTATTGTTTGGTAGTAATAGTATTTTTGTTAAATCGAAAAACTGCGACCATTTTCTGCCTTTAAATAAATTTATGGTAATCATAGCGGACATTACCAATATCTCGTTTATGCCCTCCAATATATCTAAGATGTACAATAGGAGAGAACCTGTAAAGGCATGTCGCTCGGTTCTTAAGCTTAATTGCCATATTGCAAGGATTAAAAACGCAGCAATCAGAATCGTTAAGTAAATTTTGTAAAAGACTTTAATTTTCTTATTATGTTTCGATTGAATCGGTATAATTCCCATGAGCTCCGCCATTTTGTTTAAGCTGTGGTAAAAGTCTTTTTCCGTACTGTTGACTGCAAACATCACACACATAACAAACTTTAAAAGGCTGGAAAGATTTTCGAATTTCTAACAAGATTATAAATTGCATCCGATTCTTCTGGTGCATTACAGCAAACTGGCACGTAACATGTGCATATTTCGTTATTAAATTACATTCCTAATCCATTATTTATTCATTATATACTTTACTTGTTAGGTATAAAAAACGCTGTAATGATGCATCAATACACGTTCGTATGTAGTAAGTACATTAGAAATTGGTAAAAATAATGATGTAATGCTATACAATATTTATTTATAAACTCAAATAAAACTAATTGATGAATCTTTTTATCGTGAGATTAAGTCACATCGTTTCAGTGCTTATGAAAAAATTCTTTCAGTTCATTATAAAAATGTACACTACTTTAATACACGATTTTCTACCACGTAATACCATTTACTAATGAAGTAGAGAGGGAGTTCTGATTAAATTGTGCTACCGCAAACTCCCTCTAGATTTGCCTCGACTCGCGAGAATCGAACCGTCAGGAGTCACCTTTCGAATGAATCAGTGCAGTTTTAACCGGAGCTCAGGTTGAATTGAATGCAAACAATCAAATAGGTGGTGATCGAGGAAAACATCGCACCTATAATTAACCGGTTGACAACGAAAAAACCGACGGCGGAAAATTTGGGCGCCAGTTTTTCCGAGTACTGCGCCAGATGCATCAGTTCCTCTCTGATGCGCGAGTTCGGCATGCCCTCCTGCAAGTAGTAGCAGTTCAGGACGAAGTTGTCGTTGTGTTTTTGTATTCTGTCGCATTTGCTCATCACCAGCAACATATCTATCTATAATTTACGAGTTTTATTTAAGAAAAATATATTTTTTCTCTATATACTTACTGAAAACATGACAATGCGAATAACGTCGGTTATAGCGAATAATTCCATCTCTAAAGACCAATGTTTCAAGCGAATAAACGATGTTGTGATGAAATTTAGTATACTGATAATGAATACAATGAATAAAGTGAGCATATTCCATCCGAATAATGCATTAATATTGATCATAAATCTACTGATCAGCGTAATTTTTGATCTGAAAAGTTTAATCAACGATTCGCAGAGGAAATTTTTTCTCTTGTTCAACAGCGAGAAATCGGCGTTAAGATTCATTTGGAATTTCTCAATAACACCGGCCATCTCGCACAACACAACAGAAGTGAATATGATGTAAGTATTCGAAACGTAGAACGTTAAATATGGTGTAATTGTCTCAGTTGAGTAAGTGTAATAGATTATCTGGAAACTATCGTTTGCTACCATCCAAAAAAACAAACCAATCGGGGCGTACTCGGCGAATTTCACAAAAACACCGATATCCTCTTCGGGGTTTAAATCCTCGAATATTTTCATTCGATGGAAGAATTTTAACCAGTGCTCTTCGCGGGCCAAGCTCGAAGAAAACACCGACGCCATGATGATGTTTTCGTTGATGAATTGGAAAGTGTCCGAGATAACGGACATGTAATTCGTCCATATTATGGTCTCAGATATTCGGACTTTTATCTGCCAAACTTCGACCGAAGCGTAAACCAATATCAAAAATACCACGTACATTTTGGAATTGGTGGATTTCTCTATCGAAAACGGCACGACTCCCATAAACCGGGCCATCGTCAACAATTTCCCGTGCATTATTCCATCGAAAGAAGCGACTCGATTGCACTGCTTCATTTCGTTCATAGCAACAAACCAAGCACAAATACTACTTAAGTATGCAAAATAAATCATGTTGTTAAATACAAGCCCCGACACGAATCGACATGTTGAAACTAAATTACTACTATTCCTATCTTTCTCTAGTAAATATCCAACTGACCCAGTTCAAATATACCAGTTAAATATGCAAAATAATTTTGTTGTTAATAGCAGCCCTTATACGAATCGACTTATTAAAATAAAATTACTACTATTACGCCGTTCTGCAATTAGGCCCGCTAATGTATACTCGAAGTGGTTCAATAGTTGAATATTTAATCAAATATGCACCTATTGGATGTAGTTAAATATGCATTCTCCAACACGAACATAAAATATTACAAAACATTTACTACTTTTCGGTGCACTCATCTGTAATTATTTGTCGTACTGCACTTAATAACTCAATAATTCATATTAAATGAACCGTTAATAAATTATTTGTTTCGGCATTTTAGTAATTGCCCAGATTGAATTGAAGGCAAACGATCAAGTATGAGGTGACTGTTGAAAATATCGCTCTTACTATCAACCTGTTAACAGTGAAAAAACCGGCTGCTGAGCATTTGGGCGCTAATTTTTCAGCGTATTTCGCTAGATGGAACAATTCATCGCTGATGCGCGAGTTGGGCATATCTTCCTGCAGATAGTAACAGTTTAATATGAATTTTTCGTTTTGTTTTTCTATACTATTGCATTTGTCTATAACCATCATCACGTTTATCTAAAATAATTTTACATATAAATTTGGTAACATCCTTCATTGTTTACTTACCGAGTAGAGTAGAATTCGAAAAATATCGCCTATCATGAATACTTTTGCCCGAAAAGCCCAACCCCAGGATTGATCGATGAAGAAGCCCACTGTTATAAAGTTTATTATAGTGACAGTGAAACCCACGAATATTGTAAGAATCTTCCATCCGAATAATACGTTAAGGTTCAATACGATGCTACTAATCAGCGTAATTTTTGACTTAAACGTTTTAACGAGAACATCGCACATGAAGAGCTTGTTCTCGTTCAGGAGCAAAAAATCAGCGTTGAAATTTCGTTGAAACTTTTCGATAATATGGATTGTCTTGGAGAGTAAAACACACGTGTATATTATGTAGATATTCGAAACGTTATACATTATATAGGGCGTGAACGCTTTCAATGAGTAGATGAAAAATATCACCTGGAAGACTTCGTTTATCACGAAACAAACGTACAAACAAACGGGGATGTAACCGGCAAATTTGTCGATAACTCCATCCGTATCATTTTCGCTCGACAACTCCATGATCGTATTCATTCGATGGAAGAATTTCGACCAGTTCTTCTCGTTGCCCAAGCACGCGAAAAATATGCAGGACATCGCCATGTTTTCGTTTATAAAATAGAAAACATCGGCCACAAGTACCAAGGTGGTGTTGTTTAAATGCCTGGATGTGCGGTAAACGACTTGCCAAGCTTCCACCAAAACGTAACCAAGCAACAACAATATCACGTTCATTTTGGAACTGCAGTTTTTCTTGGAGGAAAATGGGATAATCCCCAAGAACCTCGCGGTTTTCATTAATTTTCTGTACAGCACCTCGTCAGACGACGCAATTTTGTTGTTCAACCTCATGTTAAGCGCACACAAACCCCACTAGCAAGTTCCAACTGGCTCGTGCTGGTTAAATATTCAAAATAAATTACGTTGTTAGGTAGGTGCAACACGAATCGACGTTGTACAACAATACTAATATTCCATAATTATTTGTACTGTAGGCTTGTACAGTGCGTGTACATTTTTAACAATATTTGTATCGTATAAATAGGATTCTGTCATTAATTTTATAAGCGAAACGTATTTGTTCGCATACTAATCGTAAATTCTTCTATGAAAATATGAAAGGTAAATGTTTTTCACCTAGAGGATAAAAACAAACGGTGTAATTCGGAATTCTTAAATAGTTTTAATAATTTCTAGCCATTCAAAATAATTCAAAGCTCGAATAAACATTACCAACTCGTAAATATTAATGCTATATCAAAATTGAATTGTGAAATATTAATGGTGGAGTACATTTAGAAAATTGCTTTTCAGTATTTTTTATAGTTAATTACCAGCAGTAGGTTTTTCGCATTGGATTCCCTATACCTGCATAAAACATTTTGTTACACAACTTCTTATCGACTAGCCTCGTTTATGAATCTGTTATTCAGCGTTCGCTATTCGCGCTGTTTAAATAAAACATTTCCTGTCGGCGGAATCGACTTCGCGAAGTTGCGATGCAATAAAGCGAAAGTTTTCCCATTAATGAGAACCTAACCTATAACCGTTTCGCCCTCCATATGACAAAAGGGCCGATGCTCCCGATACCGCAACCATAGCCGTCCTCGGGGGTTAATTACCCCGAAGCAGAAATAAGAATACAGATAAGCAACAAGATACAATTCGTGTATGTTTAAGATTATCCCATCGACTGCGCCAATTATATCTAGCGAGGGGACTCGGTAGAGGTGGATGATGTATGCGGGAAGTTCTTCGCATTGTCGAAAGAGCATTTCTACGGGCCATTTGGCCGGTTCATCTGGCCGTATATCAAACGAATTTCCATAACTGCTACGCACGACAAATAATTCACGGTTTCTCGGATGTTTCAATGACTCCGCGACGGCGGTAAAGGGGCGCTTTAGCGGGCGAATGCCCTTTCCGTTTTTCGAATTACGTCGGCGTCTTTAACTTATTTTTAGAGGGGAGCGTAAGTTATGTCTAAATAAATGGGTTTTATTAAGGGTTTTATGCGGGAAAGGATATAAAATCCACTGTTTCGGTTGACGGACGAGGATAGCGATTTTCCGACTATAGGAAAAGAATTCGATGTTTGCGCGACGGACGCGAGTACTTTGCATTATTGAATTCTATCATTCGGATTAATTAATCGCGTACTCGATTCCTCCCTTTGAATCCCTATACCTACCCCGACAGACGAGGGTCGCGGCGCCCCTAACTCCGATTGACAAATAGAACCGCGACATCCTACTGAATACTTTAATCTACTAATGCCTTCTGTTAATCACAAACCAAACCGAAAGGACAATAAAATCCTACAAGGACTATCAAACGGCCCGTAAACGTCGGGATTCGATCATTTCGAACCATTTGAGCTGACCTATTTGACGCTAAAGTGTAATTGCACCGTTGCAAATTTGTTGATGCTCTTAAACAAATCCCGCCGCTACATTGTTCGTTCGATTGCAAGATACTCGCTAACAGCTGCATATAGTCAAAGAGAAGTAGACTTAGCGAAGCTTAGCAGAAGAAGCCGAGCAAAAGTCGAATCTACGTAATAATTATAGACAAAGGGCGAATTAGCTTTCGGAAAGCGGATTAATTTGCGATATGCGGCAAAGGGAAACTCGTCCAAAGAGGAAAAAAAAAATCGAAGTCGATTAATCTTCGCGAGAGGTAAACGCCACTTTGTCCTGCAAACAAATGATTCCTTGCTCTCCCTCCGAGGAGCCCGGACGAAATTAGAGAGCGCGGGGCCCATTCGAACTCGATATCAATTAATCACCCGGCCCAATTCAATCAGAGCCGGCAAAAAATTACAAAAACAAGGTTAACTCGCGATATCCAGTTGTTAATTGGGACGAAACAAACCCTTACGATGCTCCCTTGCGAGTAAATTAAATTTTCCAGCGGGTTTTTCTTCTCGTCTACGTTACAGCTAACACTCAACCAGTGCCGTACAAATACTACGAAACTTCCACATAAAAACTAATTTTATACCTATCTTTATACCTACATAAACCAGGAATTATATAAAATTAAATGCACTAAAACTCTTGTAATGTAATTCAAGAAGTGAAACAAACTTATAGAGTTTTGTAAGGGATAAATAGGGAATTTCTGGATAGGTTACGCCCGTGTTTCGAGCTTGTCTTAAGGTAGACTTTCCTCACCTGAGAGCATCCGAGGCTAGACCGGAGTCCCGTCGGGTTTCCTCCCGGACAAAAAAAGTACCGAGTTTCGAGATTAGAGTGCAAAAGGGCGTCGGACGCGTTCTAATCGGAACAAAAGAAATTCGAGCAAATAGGGATCCGACGTAATTAATTAAAGGAACGCCGAATGTCCTTTTAAATATTTATAGAACGATGGAAATCGGATAAAAAGGGCTCGAAAGGACGTAATTAAAGATTAGAATTATACGTTAAAGCGCGCGTTTCTACGAAATTAAAAAATCTACCCCTAGAAGAAAGGGATTCACACCAATATTACTCTTTTAATTAATTAAGTTCGGAAGTTGCTGTTTACACGAATTTGATTTATTAATTTCTACATCGCCAGTTCCTTCGGCGTGGAATAGTTTTTCTTAATTTTTTAATTAAACGAATGAAGAAGACAGCGGTGTCTTCGAATTCGAAAACGAATCGCCTTTATGCTCCCGATAGTGTCTGAAACTGGATTGAACTTTAATGTAAGAGCTCCGTAATATCCAGGGTTTATTGGAAAGAGTATATCCGGGAAATAACAATTTCTGTTATCGATACGAATCGACGATTGTGTACAAGGACCGGCTTAGGAACTAGAGCTGGCTAATTTTATTCGTAATGTATAAAATAATTTGATAAGTAGTAGAATAATCATCGAGCAAAGGATTATAAATTGTTAGTAAATTAACGAATTTTTATCGAGTAAAAGGAATATAATTGGATCCGTCCCTGTGGCAAATTGAATTAAATCTAGTTTCGCAACAGTTTTCTATTATATCGTCGGTTTTTGCCCATCTTTTTGCTATTTTCAATTATTTTTACAAAGCTCTTTCTGCTCCGGGATCATGCTGAAAGGAATCATCCCCATCAGTTGCACAAGAGCTGCTTCTACGCTCATTTTTCGGTGCAGCCGAATTGGTATCTCGAAATAATCCAAATCAAAAATAAAATTTTATAATCCATTTCACGACGAATCGAACGAATTGAAGTTTAAGGAAAACCGAACAGTTTATACAGAAAATGTATGTGTAATTTTTGATGACACTAACTATTAGTGATGGAAGTAGAATAAATTCTGTATAGTGCTTTTAGGGAAACAACTTGGATGGAAAATTAAAAAAACAAACCGGCACTTTCGTTATTCAAATGGCTGCAAGTGAAATTTATAGATGCTTTCAAACACTCGGCTTCCATAACAATAAATATATCATTGGCGTGTGTATGTATTTCGCGTCGTTTTTGCGGAACATTCGCCATGTATAGTATAGATATATATTTTATTCTAACTCGAGGCTTCGATAATTTATCGCGTACCCGCCCTTCCGGCAATAATTCTCCGAGGAAAAAACCTATTGGCATGATAATGCACGATAAAATACCTACAGAAGACCGGGACGCGAAAGAGTTGCCCCGACAAATGAGATAATTTCCATCGGATTTGTTTTTGGACGTTTTATTGCCAATTAACGCTAATTTATCCGTTGCGATTCGATTGAAAATCCTCCCGCGAAAAATTCCTCACGTAAGAAAGTAACGGAAAAAAATAGCTGATAGCAGGGAAAATCGCTTTACACCCTTCTAAAGGTTTTGGCGCATTTTGGATACATCGAGGGGGCATATCATTGTATGAGCGATCTTGATTGATAGACTTGCATAACTCGCGTAATGGAACACAATCGAATCGAATGGGGTGTGTGTTTTGCATTTCCCGAACGGACGGTGGAAAATATATTTGCTGTTTTTCATCGAATACACTTTCACCAAAATGTAGGAAAAAAAATATATAATTTTTTGATTAAATAAATTGCCTATTTTCCGTTTTTTTCCTCGCTAATTGGCTGCCAAGAGGAAAGAATAACAACATCTTTCTGTAATTATTTACATTTCGTTCATGTATACGATACAACGTCTACTCGCCGAAATTTAAAAGAGAATAAATGCCAATTTGTGCTTTTCCTTTCATATTTTCTTCGGCTGATTTCTCCACCAAAAGCGGTTTCGCAGGCCAATTTGCGTACACCGAAATTCGAATCAGCTATTTCCATTTCTCGCTTTATTTAACAATCAACCCGCCCGCGAAGCACGCCAAAAAAATCTTATTGATTACCATCACAATTGACCATCGGAAATATTTCAAGATACGCACTTCCCATAAATAAATCACCCGGCAATAATCTAAAGCAAACCGGGAGCGGAGGTATGTATAATTTGTTAGTCGTCTAGACGCCGAAACCATTTGGCAATCGCGCTCGATTTGTAATTTTAATGGGATCTTTTCATTTCGAAACCGGTGCGTATGCCGACTGTGTAAACACTTAAATATACATGGGCGACATGGGGGAGGTTTTTGTTTCGAATTTCGCTTCCGTTCGAAACCCAAACCCGCTCTATTTATTTTCCAGCTCGCTCCACAAGAAACGTATACATTTATAAACCCATTAAATATTAAACATCAAAGAAACTAATAGCGTAAAATAATACACTATTTTGCAACTTTAAACTCCTGTAGATTCTCTTCGAATCTCACATTCCCGAATATTCCTGCAAACGATAATGTCTGTCGGGAAACTTCGGCGACCAGGAAAACAATTCCTGCGACGTCGGCAAACATTGCCGTGTAACAAATTAGTTTTCCAAGACCAATAATAACAGTCCCTAGCGTCAACAATGTCAGGAGCATTGACGCGTGACATTTAAATCAGCAGCGTCCACTCGCTGCGACCGCCGCAGGACGAATAACCGCCCCGGCATGCGAGCGTTTTACACCCCATATCTCCCCGAAAGCTTTCGTATGGCGTCTTAATTACTCGTACTGCAGGATTTCGAGTTTAATACGCTTATTTTTCATGCATAAAAATCAGCAGGGACGAATGCAATAAAGAAAATTCGAGACGTTATTGCGCCAGCTTCACCCCTTTTAAACATTTAATATCGCCTCAGTTTTTCTCCAGCGCCGCGACTCGCTGCAGGAATTTTAGACTTTCATAGATCAGGCGGGAGTGAGTCGCAGACGTTCGAATTGTTTTACATTAGAAAGGGGGAATTTTCGCGGACGGTTTATTTCCAGCAGGAATTAGAGTTATTAAAAGACCGTCGCCCGAGGTTGTGATCGAAATATCTTGCGCTGGAGCGACGGGGAAAAAAAAAAGTTTTATTATATTTTAAGGTCGAACCGAAAGATCTACATCGGCACATGATTAATTCGGAAAATCCTGCGCGATTTTTCTTCGCTTTTGTTCTCCCGACTTTTCCGCCCCCGTCGATCGCGCCGGATAAAGGAGATAATTATGCGTTGTTAACTTTAAAAAATTTACTTGTTAATGATCTTCTTTTCGAGTGGGTTTCCAGCGATTTTAATAACCATCGGGGGGATTGTTTAAAGCGCAAAAAAAGCGGGAGGGACAGGGTTGAAAGTACCATAAAAAACGCAAATGAAAAGATGAATAATTCGTCGAATCAAATAAAAAATTAACCCTAGGGGGATTGTTTGCCGGAATCCTCCAGGAAAACAATTAGCTTAGCCGAGAACAAAGCCGGTATAATAAAAAGTCGTTTACTTGATAAATAAGGAGCGGACAACTCGCTAGTCTTTCGTAACAATCGGATCGATTTTACTCCATAAATAGCGATCGAGTGAATTAATGGGCAACAGATTTTTGTCGCCCGGCTTATTAATTACCCGTAAACCGTGCTTGTTCAATGGAGTTCGATAACGAAGGAGTATAGATGGCACGTGCTCGACGCCACCGCGTAATTCCTGGCCGCACACCCTACAAGAACGCGACCGATTTTAACGGCTCGATACCCTTCGGGTAATTTACTCGACCATCATTAGACACCGCTATTAATTACCAACTTTACGCGCCGAAACTCCGCGGCATTATTCATATAAGGGGACGCTTCGAACCGATATTAATGGGCTTCTTATTTCACGTGGAATTCGCGTTTGTTAATTTGTGTCTTTGCGATTTTAAGAAGAAATCGGCTCGTCGAGAGCGAAAGCTAACGAGTTTATTTTCTTTTCGGGCGAGCCGGTATTGTCGAAAGTTCCTAACGCAATTTGCGGCTCGTCGATTTCGAAATGTATCGAATTAGCAATGGCAAAAAGGGAGGAGGGAATACAAAGAAATTAAGACCCGGAGTATTAGCGTGGCGCGCTCGAGCCGGCATTTTTGCCGGAATTTCGTTGCCAAAAGGACATAATTGTTTTAGGGGATTTTACTTAGTTCTAAATAATTGCTTTCGGATGGTGATTCCTGAAATTGCAGGACGACTCTCTTCAATTAATTTGTATTATGAGCTTATCTAATTGAAGGAACCCGATGTAAAAATTCGCTGCGCATTTGCATATTCTTTAATTCGAAATTAAAATTTCATCTCGACCGCAACCGCAAAAATGTCGAAATAACCACAACTTCGTAATTCAATTTTACTAACTGTTTTCTTAATTATGCAGGATACCAAAATGAGCTAATTAAAGTCAAAAACAACTACAATTTCAATCCAATTTATATCCAAACCACTTATAAATCCCCTTTTTTCTTCATCTTCTCTTCGAGAGCAACCAATCTTTCAGCCAAAGCATCGTTGATTTCCTTGTTATTTGTAGCCAACATTCTCTTGGCGAGCCTGTCCAAAGGTCCTCCGTTAACATCAGTCACCATCCCCCCGGCTTCTGTAACAATAAGCTCTCCTGCTGCGATGTCCCACACCTGCAACCCGTAGCTGTAGTAAGCTTCGGCTGCTCCGCAGGCTACCATGCACAGATCCAAAGCCGCCGAACCCAAACATCTCGAGCTGCAAACGGGTAACTCGATACAAATCACGCTAGATAATTATTGTGTTATTACCTATGGCTATCATCTGACAGCGATTTTAAGTGCTCCTGAACTTCAGGAGTGAGCTGGTAATTAGGCGACGGGCCCCAATTTTCGAGCATTAATAGAGCAGTAGATAAGGTTTTGACTTGGGATACTTTAATGGGTTGACCGTTCAAATAAGCCCCTTGGCCTTTCCTGGCTGTAAAGAGTTGCTCCAGCATGGGGTTGTAGACGATCCCGATGACAGGCTGCTTGTTCACGTACAGAGCTATGGAGATGCAGGAGTGCGGAAACGAGTGCACGAAATTCATGGTCCCGTCTATGGGATCTATGACCCACGTGGGTGCATCGGTGAGGACGATTTCCTTCGACGATTCCTCGCCGATGAATTTGTGATCGGGGAATTTTCCCGCTATGCCATCGATTAGGTACCGTTCCACCTGTTTGTCGGTTTCGGTCACCAGGTCCTTCGGCGATTTTTTGAACTCCACGTACTTGTTGCGCTCTAAATTTTTTTCCCTTATTATCTAGGTAAAGTAATTAACTGGTGAATGAAAATGCATGAGAGAGATATAGAAATTATACTTGCCTGTCCTGCTGATTTGGTTAATGTTAAAACAGCATCGTAGAATAAATCTAAACTACTGTTGCTAGCCATTTTGAAAATATAAAAAATAATGAGATGTTTAATATTTATACCCACAATTAAACTACTATTAAAATTTATTTAAACACTAACACAATGCGATATGTATTAACGAATATCACTGTAATTATTTTCTTATCTCAACTGATAACCAAAATAACACGTTACATAAACATTGCGCAACAATTAGAAATGTATATTTCGAGATAGCGGATTAAAAATAAATAAAATAAACGTTAATTAGCAAGTACTTTGTTAATATGGTATTTTTGTCAAAGGAAATAGCAGGGATATTCGGAGCTGGTATAGACCCAAAGAGTTAACAGGAAAGAGAGGAAGGTGCAAATTGTTTGTTAAAATCCCGGCGAGTACAAACAAAACCCTCGGCATCAAAAGCCCCGTTCCGTCCAGGAATTCGGGAAGTTAATTCTAAGGAATTTAATCAATACCAGGACGAATTGGTTGGTCAAATTTCGACACGCACAACCCGCCTTGCCGATCGTTTTGTAATTAAAAGCCCTTTTATTTAATACCGTTTGGGAATGATTAATTAGAAATCGGTTGTGAATACTTTCCAAATTATGCTGCAAACTTTACAGAATAAATGCATAAAACAGAAAAATAATTTCTAATGTACGAATTAATATTCTTAACAAATAAATTATCCGCGTAACGCTCTGGGAATTCCAGTATATACACATAATGTATGGTTGTCCTGTATAAGAGGAAAACGGATTTGCTAATTTAGCCACCAAAGTCTCGGGACCGTCCAGACCGCCAGGGACTGGAAATGCACTCACTTTCCGTGAGTTATTCCGCTTTCCCGCAATCTTAGCCGGCGACTCCCCGAACGAAGATCCGGGTATCCATCATTTAAGCAGTCTGGACGGTTTATTAGCGAGACAACGCAATCTCGACTAAAGGCCCTTTTCCGCGCCGCTTTTAATAATTATTATACCCGGCGAATTAGTTCGGTGAAGTCCAGTTATTTTTAATTTGCGTCGCGATGGCATCGGAAAAGTTCAACCCCATAAAATCGGTATATTGCGTCTGGTGCGATCCAGATACGAATTGAAACTTTTCCTTTTTCCACGGGGACGGAGCATTTTTCCTTATCCCTTCTGGACACTCCTTTCTATCGCTTTCCCAATACGGTGTCTCGGTCTCCGATTACATCATAAATACTGTTTCGGAGTAGACTTTATTAAAAAAAAGCCCGATTCAATTTCGGAAAAGCGATTTTCACACTTTCGCCCGAATTGGAAGTTACTGTGCTTTTTTTTTCTTTTATTTCATCGTTCGTCGTTTTACAAGAAAATTCTTCATTCCGACGAGGAAAAACTTGCTCACATAATGAATTACGGGCCAATCATAAATCGGGGGCATTCATGGGTGAAATCAATTCCGTCGCTTCGAACATCTTTAATTGATTTTATTACTGAGATAAAAGCGCGATGGTTCGGAGTAAAATAGGCAAAAACCGACGTTAATCGCGCCCGTAATTCATTAGGATAAATCATCCGGACGCGGGGGAAAACGATTTTTTCAACAACTAAAATCGTTATTGTCAGAGTACTAATCTAATCCCGGGACGACTCCTTCCTTTCGGGACGCGAACGGTTAATTTATGTGACTTGATGAATGGCGATGCGGTCACAGAAGACTGGCCATTACTTCCAATTAGCCTGGCAAGGTGGCGCCCCTGTTATTTTCCTTTTTACCTCTGAGAAACAGAGGCTCTTCAACACGTTATCCATTAGGTAGATACGCTAGTTATCCAACAAAAATTCGAAATTATGGCGAAGATTCCACCAAACATTTTCAGCGAGTTTATTCGTGTACTAATAGTGGAGTATCCACCAAAAAAATTGTTGAAATGAAAGGTGTGATTACAGTGAAAATCACCGGCAGTATTTTACAGTATAATATGATTCATTCGAGTATTATATATGTGTGTTATCAGCGTTGCGATTTAAGACAGAAAATAATTTATGGACGAAGATTGAGTATGAAGGGGAGCTGAAATATGACCGGGTCAACGCCGGAACGTCCCCCTAAAGACTCCTAAAAAGGATTTATTGGAAAATAAGAAAATTGTCTTTACGTTTGTTTTTTTTTAGTATTTATATCACAAAGGAGATACGTAAATTCGAGTAATATATCACAAGTACATATAAGTCTAAAGAAACGCGGAAACACTGGTTAATATTTATGTTGATTCATGCCAATATCGTCACTGGGGATCCAATTATACCGGGTTATCTCGCCCAAATCACCCCTATACATACAAACCGCACCGGCTCCCCTCGAAAAGCGAGGACGCCAATCCCAAAGTGCATGTCACCGAAGCTGGAAAGCCGAAATATGTGCTCTCGCGTGTGTATCTGACTGTATCGAATGCGATAAGATAACACTAGATATATCGAAACCCTGCTCGTGATTGGTCAATGTTCGAGCTTTGATAGATGAGTCAGGGAAACGTCGAACTTTCATCGCCACCTCGACGACAAAATCGATTCGCATTCGATCATTAAAACCGTATTTTCTTTAAGCTGATGCGTGCATGCAAACAGAAACCCCGGAGAAACCCGGAATAGAATTAAGAGAAACAATTACGCCGAATAACAATATTGGTTTTCGTCGAACAATAGGTCTGTTTGCGTTCCGGTTCGAAAATAAACTTTTCGAATAAAATCATTTTCCAGATGTCATTCGAACGACAATAACGGATTTCCCGTTTTCTATAAAACCGCATTTTCCTCAAGTGGCTCTCGTAGAAGTCGATAAAATTCGCTATAACTGGAAAATGTTATTCTTTCCTCGACTGTAATTTATACAAACATTTTTCTTTTAATGTTTTCCCAGATGGAGGATCCGCATCGCCTTATAAATATTAAACGTTTATTCTTTGTTATCGATTTGCCGTCCGGATTTGATAAAAACAAATCTATGTAACGTCAGAATTTAATTTCAAAAAACTGCTGCACTAAGCTACCCTATTATACACTTCCCTAATAAACTGTATTATTTATGTAAAAAAAAGGAAATAATTGTGAATCAAAAAACGACGATTGTTATAAGAAAAATGGTCGTTTTCGACCGACATCTTCCGCTCGAAAGGACGAAAATATTTCCGTTTCCATTTCGAGCGAAAACTCCAGGCCGTGGTCCGTGGAGCGAACTCCGCCGAACTCCCCGACGTTTTTGAATAATGCAGAAATAATCGGAAAGTTTTTGACGAGTCCGGCGTAGCGTGTCCTGGCCGGTTTCGGGGGAGTTGCGGCTTGTTTCGGACGCGGTTGAGAAATGTCCTCTCGCAACTCAATTTCACGCCGGTTGACCGCCCGGCGGAATTTCGAATTCCGACCGGCCGCGGTCTCGCCGCTTCTCTCCCGAGTTTTTTTTTGTCTAATTCGAGCTCTTCTTTAAGCTGTCCTATTGTCGAGTCTCTTTTCACATGACGAAACTCTTGCAGAACATCTACAAACTTCCACGACGAAAAATTCTTGAATATTCCAACTGGTTGAATCGATAGTTCGTCCACATTTAGCTCGTTCCTCGAGCGACTGATGGCAGCAAATTCCTGAAAGTGAGGGGAAACAGTGATCCAGAGATGGGGGGCGGTAGATAAATCATTCATACAATATTAAGAGAGGTCCTCGCGTAGCGCGCGGCAGGAAAGGATCCGTCATAACAATTTATATTGTGCGAAACCGGTTCGAGTCATTATGTTTTATTGATGAAGCCTCCTGCGAGAATATAAATTAGTTTAGATGCGCCCGTATCGCCGCAGAGTGTCAGTCAAAACGCTACTCTGTATTGATTTTACATGCTAAATTCACAGTACGTTTGGTTATTTTAACAACAATTTTCTTATTTGCGTTATAATAAATATTTACTTTGTTTAACTCTTCCTTCGTATTGAATACTGTAACGAATAAATATTGAATTTTCTATGAGCAGGAACGATCACAAACTCCTTTGTAACGTTTTTTTTTTATTTTTTAGATATCTGAAGCTTTTCCAAGCCTTTTCCAAGAATGTTCTGGCTTCAAATTTAGTGATTTCAATTATCATTTTGTTGCCTTTATTATTTACATAAATGTAACGTTTCTGTTGCAATTTTATCATCTCCTACGCCATCTTAGTTGTGAAGTTGTGAATTTGCATTAGCCACCACTCTAATCTGCTAAATATGGAGTTTCGCTGAGTGGAATTAAATTATTGACATTGACCGCAGTGCGGGGATTTCGGAATATATCCAGGTTTCATCAAATTTACAGATTGTGCATTAGCCAGACGTATCTGCGTGGTTTAATTAGAGGAGGTTTTGCGCGTATATGCAATAGCAAAAAAAAATCGTCGAATTAACGCTCGAAGAAACTTTCGCGCTCAATTTGCTCCGAAAGCGTAATGACGGCGAAGTTTTTTCATGTTTAATATTTAGTAGTTTGAACACAATAAACTTAGTCGAGGGACTACTTGAAACTTCCTCAACTTCGCTCATTGTAAAAGTTTATATTGAAAAGGTAAGGCACTTGAATATTTCAATGATTCGCCGAGTCGTTATTGCTATCAGCAGGATATTTTTTCGAGTGGAATGTTTCCGACTTAATCTTCGAGTTTTCGTAGGAAATTGGAGTTTCCGTTATTTTTTTTCTCTCGGCGAGCAATTAATTCGAGCAAGTCGCTCATTTAGCATCTCGAAATGCATCAGTGTCATCATTGATTCGACTAGCCCCATTATGGGGGTAGTTTCATGTCAAGGCGGACTTTTTCCCTTTATTAACTTCCTGATGAATCCGCACTAATTTGTCCGATTGTCGTTGGAGGGTTTAGAAAATCGTCCGTCTCCCGGCGAAACTATTCCAATTTCTGGAGACATGCAGGATCGGCTTTTTAGGATAATCCTCCGGGATTTATGTTCAACTTGAGGTTCAATCGAATCAAAGCGCAAAAAATACTTGAGAGTTTAGAGCAAAATCGATAACAGCTAATTGCAGAAGTTTAAACGTTTTACGTTTTAAAATTGTTTATAATAATTTATGCTTTCGTGCAGTGCGTAAGAAAAATT